CGGTAGTGCGGTGTATCGGATTAGGGATCCGGCGGATCTGGTACACCCACAAGTGAGTATATAACGCACGGGTCTAGATTAAGCGCCACACCAATGCCCTGGACTAGCAGCTATAGCTATGTACATAGAAACCACCAGTAGCAATTCGAGTACTTACTTGTCGGGCAAGCACTGAGTTTAGTCTCACGGAGAGTCCAGAAAGCAAGGGAGCGCTTAAGGATAAAAAGATCCAGACGACGCGAGATGGTGGCGGTCGTGAAACGCGTAGATTCCGCCGATTCTAGAACCTTCGCCGACGTGGATACCTTGGGCAAGCAGCTCACCGACTTGTTGGACACGAGGGCCACCGTAAGTGTGCTGGGCAAAGGCTGTCGAGAGCTGGGAGTTACCGTTCAACCGTACTTTTCCGTAGTGCGGACGGCTTCTGGCGAGGATCGATCCGCTTGGAGCTGCCTGTGAAGTACAAAGGCGTAAGTAAGCCGGTTAAGTTCTACCTTTTCCCGTACCTGGAACAATCTCCTTACTACGGAGTCGACTTCTGGCGGGCGTTCGGACTAGCTCCAGCCGTCGTGGGGAAGCCGGTGACGAGAGGCGTCAAGGCAGCGGAGGAGATCCATGCCAGCCAGATGGAGCACTACGCCGATCAGGAAGATGAGGACGAGGTAAGGGAGCGACCCGAATCCTGTAGCCTTTCGGCGTAGGAAAAGCTGGCGTTAGGCAAGGTAAAGGAGGAGTTCCTTACCTTTGAAAGCGATGCCCTCGGAGTCACCAGCATGGAGAGGCATTCCATTGAGCTGATGGAAGGAGCTCGGGTGTTTAAGGATCGCATCCGATGTCTCCGGCGAAGCAAAAGGTGGTCGGAGATGAAATCGACAAGGTGTTGGAGATGGGTGTCATTAAGAAGAGCAAAAGCACGTGGGGCAATCGCACAACAGTGGTGTCGAAGCCAGGGAAAGACAGGTTCTGCCTGGATACCCGGAAGTTGAATGCCTTGACTATCAAGGATGCATACCCACTGCCCAGTATTGAAGGAATCCTCTCCAGGATAGAACAGACGCTCTCCAGCGTAGACCTCAAATTTGCGTTTTGGCAGATTGACCTGAATGACAGAAGCAAGAAGAACACTGCGTTCACGGTTCCAGGCAGACCGTTGTACCAGTTTCGAATGATGCCATTCGGGCTGTGCAACGCGGCACAACGCTGGGTGCGGCTCATGGATCGGGTGATACCAGCGGAGCTCAGATCCAACGTCTTCGTCTACTTCGACGACCTGCTAGTCCTTGCTCCAGATTTTCAGACACACTTGAAATTCTTGCGTCGAGTAGCTTCATATCGTTCACTTACCTAGGGTTTATGGTCGGACGGGTTTCGGAAATTCAGAAGATGCCTTACCCGAAGTCAATAAAGAAAGTACGAGCCTTCCTCGGCACAGCGGGATGGTATCGACGGTTCGTCAAGAACTTCGCTGCGCTAGCCCCACCACTCTCCGAGTCCTTGAAGAAGGCTGGAAACACCAAGTTTTCCTTAAGCCCCAGCACCACACAGGCAGTGGATGACCTGAAGCTGGCCTTGACGAGCGCGCAAGTCCTGGTTCATGCGGATTTAAAAAAACATTTATACATCCAGTGCAACGCATCCTACGTTGGCGTCAGCGTGGTATTGTTTCAGCGGAACCAGGACGGAGACAAGCAGCCTATCACGTTCTTCTCGACCAAGATGAAAAAACACCAGGTGAATTTCTGGGTCACGGAAAATAAGTGTTTGGCGGGCATCCTACCCATTCACATGCAATACTGATCACGCCAGCCTAATGACAATGGTTAATGACAATGAAGGATCTGTCCGGACGAGTCGCAAGGTGGTCTCTACAGCTGCAGGGCTACGATTTCAGCATTGAACATCGCAAAGGCAGCGAGAACGTAGTCGCCGACACTCTATCCCGCATCATGGAGGTGATCCGGATAGATCCGACAGAGTTGCTGGGACTCGAGGCGACCGATTTTGCTGCGGAGGATTATACGGAGTTAGTGCAAGACGTAGAGTCTAACAGGAAGCACTTACCGGATCTCAAGGGGGACGGCGGATTAATCTTCAAGCGCATGAGTAATCCGAAAATGGACGAGGGATTGGAAGGATCCGAATGGAAGCTGTGGATCCCGCACAGCCTGACGCACGGCTCGATAGAGCGTGCTCATTCGGACCAGAAGGCTGGCCATGGTGGGATGACGAAGACCTTGGAGATCCGGCGACGCCAGTTCTATTTGCCAGGGATGACTATCCAGGTACGTGAATACGTCCGGGGTTGCGAGGTGTGCAAAGAGTCCATAGCGCCAAACTTCAGGATGTAGGTCAGAATCGGAAGAAGGGCATTCATAGGGCAGCCGGGGTCCCAACACAAAGGGGCCCGGGATATATACTTGGGAGTTCCACGGATTTCTGCGGGACTTCGCCATAGATACCAGCCCCGACTTAGCTGCCAGCAGCCGGTGTCCGTTCGACCCGCACAGACGAACAGCCATAATCGCCTTTTGCAGTCGACGCCGAAGACATCAAGCATTTCCCGGTGAGTCCATTCCGGTCTACCACGTCCACCTCATTTCATGAAATCATCGATAGCCACCAAATTTAACCCATTTTTCATTTTAGTGATGACCGATAGTTTCGTGATTTGGGACTGTTGTGAGCTGTGGCATTAGGGGTACTCTGCCCTAAGAAAACACTGATCTAGCGGCACTGCCACCGAAAATAAGCACTTCGTAACATATTTTCCCCCGTAGAGGCGACGACGTCTCGCCCATTTATGACCCTGACGCCCCGTCTTCCCGAACTATGCTTGCAACATAGATTGCAATTGCTAGGGAGTGGTGACGGGGAAGTCAGCTGCTTTGGGAAATTGAAAGTAGAGCGGGAGGCTGGTCGGCGATTATTGACGTCCTGGATTTCTAATTTTATGTCGGTTGTATACTTAATTGCGTAATCGTAATCCGTGGCAACCCTACGCGCTGCACGGTTACCTCTATTTAAAATAGAAAAAGAGGACGGGAAAGAAAAACCAACAGGAGCCAAACCAAGCCGATGTCCTTAACTGGCGGCTATCACCACGAGTGATAGATAGTTCAGTTGACGAACGTATAAGCGGTGACGGGAGAATTGGGGTTTCGGAGTAAGCGCAAGACGAGTTAGATCGGAATCCCATCGGCGAGAGTCAGTTCCACCTCCCCAGGTCCCGCGCTGTAAGGAGAAGAAAAAAACAAGGAAGAACGCTATAGTAGAGTACCTCGACTATCAGATACCCGTTACTCAGCTAAAGGGACCAAAGGGAAATGGAGATATGCAAGCAGCAAAGCGAGATTAAAATGCGCCAACTACCGGCGATAGACAGATTTATTGACGAGACTAATACATTTCCGTTAAAATTTTTTATCTAGCATGAAAATTGTGGGCGTCACAGGCTTGGGCGGTTTGTGGGCGTTAAAGTGGGGTGGCAAAATTTTTTTGGACCAATCGATAGGTATTGATGAGAACAATACATTTCAGTTAAAATTTTTTATCTGGCATGAAAATTGTGGGCGTCACAGGATTTCGCGGCTTGTGGGCGTTAAAGTGGGCGTGGCAAACTTTTTTTTGGGTCAATCGATAGGTATTGATGAGAACAATACATTTCAGTTAAAATTTTCTATCTAGCATCAAAACTGTAGGAGCAACAGTTTTGGGCGGTTTGTGGGCGTTAGAGTGGGCGTGGCACATTGCTGAAACAAACTGGCACTGCGCAAGAAGATCAAAAATCTGCATGCCCAATCCCAATCGCCTAGCTCTTATAGTTTTCAAAATCTCAGCGTTCATACGGACAGACGGACATGGATAGATCGACTCGGCTAGTGATCCTGATCAAGAATATATATACTTTATGGGGTTGGAAACGCTTTCTTCTGTCTGTTACATACTTTCCGACGAATCTAGTATACCCTTTTCTCTACGAGTAATGGGTATAAAAATAGGAGAATTTGTAAGGTGTTTGGAAGGGAGGAAGATTTGTTTTATTGTTATTTATTTTTGCTATTAGTTATTATCATATTTATTTATTTTGTTGTTTATTATTTTATTTATTATCGTATTTAGTTGTAAGCCTATTTATTTATTTATTTATCATATTATTAAGTATTTATTTAAAAATTCTTGAAAGTCATGTCCGAGGGTAAGGACGTCAAAGATAGGCACGGCCACCAGCTAAGGTCGATGGGTCCTCCTAGCGATGAAAAGGACGATATCTGGTCCACGGATGAGTTGCTGAGTGAGCTGAGTTGCCGCGGATATTGCCGGCTGGGGTTCACCCAGAACGCCGGTAGGCGGTCGTGCGGTGGATCGGATTAGGGATCAACCGGCGGATCTGGTACACCATCGGTCGCCCAGGGTCCTTAATTTCAAGGCGATCGTCGAGTAACAGGAGCAACAGTTTCCGGAGCAGAAGAGTCCGCAAAAGCTGAACCTGGAACGGGATACAGTGGCGGAGTCGGCGATGAATGCAGCTCTGGCACAAGCGGCCCAAACCTATCGCGCAACGCAGGAGTTGGGAGTTAGCCATGCGTTGAGGGAGGAGATTAAGAACGGCTTCATGGACATGGTGAAGTTGCTGAACGACGTCCTTAGGCCAGCCGAGAGCAAACCGCAGCCGCTCCAGGAGGTAGCAAGTCGCCAAGCATCAATGGTGCCCACTCCGTCGTGTCCAGAAGGCGGGCAGCGGCAGGAGACAAGAGAAGGCTACCGAAGGTCGCCGGTGATCGACAGCAGCCTGAGCCAGAACCCGGAATATCATCCGGCAGGCTGAAGTGATCGCCACGCACGGCCGTGGCGCCTCGAGGACCGAAGGACGGCGGATTTACAAGACGAGCCAAGGTTGTACGCCCACGCGGGAGCCGGCAACGGGAACAACTACATCCGAGTGGACCGCTGAAAGCTCTCCTTCGGCGGAAAGGAGTTCCTGCAGTGGCAGCACCTGTGTCCGTGGAACGAAGTTCTGCGGAACTTCCACGTACTCCTATCCGGCAGAGCGAAGGAGTGGAATTGGGTACACGTACGCCAATCCAGAGTGGACACTTGGGCCCAGCTGCGCAGGGCTTCGATGGATCGGTTCCGTGGTCACCACGAAAGGATGCCTGAGCTACTTCAGCGTGAGCAACAGCCGGGAGAGAGCGCGGATGACTACATCCATTCCATGCAACAAGTCGCCTCACGCCTGAAAACTCACGGTGGACGAACTTCGGTAGGAGTGTTTCGGTCGTCGAGGGCGCCCTGCTTACTTGCAGCAGAGCAAGTTGACGAAGTCGACGAGCAGCGAAACCTGGAAGTGGACGAGCTTCGTGGGCGTGTCCGAAATCCATTCAGGCCAGGTTTTTTGAATTGCGGGGCTGCGGAGCACGGATTCCAGGATTGCGAGGCTACGGAGGGGAGGAGGTTTTGTTTCCGGTGCGGCAGACCGTGCGTTATTTCTTCGAAATGTCCCGAAATGTTGGAATTCCGCGAAGTAGTTCGGCTGCAGGAAGATCAAAACAATAGCCAATCTTATAGACATAAGTATTTGTAAAGATACCTACCGGAGGATGAAAGGCTTCGCCGTTATATGGAGACACGAAATCGGATCTTTGCGGAACATCACCTGAGCGGCATATGTCTAGTCTCACGGAGAGTCCAGACGACGAGTGGTGGTGGCGGCCGTGAAACGCGTAGATTCCGCCAATCTTAGACCTTTCGCCAACGTGGAGACCTTGAGCAAGCAGCTCACCAGCTTGTTGGACACGGGGGCCAGCGTAAGAGTGCTGGGCAAAGCCTGTCGAGAGCTGGTGGAAACGCTGGGTGTTACCGTCCAACCGTATTTTTCCGTAGTCCGGACGGCTTCTGGCGAGGATCGGTCCATCATTGGCGGCTTAAACTTCTGCCGGCGTTCGAACTAGCTCCAGCCGTCGTGGGGAAGCCGGTGACGAGAGGCGTCAAGGCAACGGAGGAAATCCATGCCAGCCAGATGGAGCACTACGCCGATCAGAAAGATGAGGACGAGGTAAGGGAGGAACCCGTATCCTGGAGCCTTTCTGCGGAGAAATGGCAGGCGTTAAGCAAGGTCAACGAGGAGTTCCTTACCTTTGAAAGGGATGGCCTCGGGTCACCAGCATGGAGTGGCATACCATCGAGCTGATGGAAGGAGCTCGGGTGTTTAAGGATCGTTCGTATCCGATGTCTCCGGCGAAGCAAAAGGTGGTCGAAGATGAAATCGACAAGATGTTGGAGCTGGGTGTCATCGAGGAGAGCAAAAGCCCGTGGTGCAGTCGCACAACAGTGATGTCGAAGCCAGGGAAAGGCAGGTTCTGCCTGGATGCCCGGAAGTTGAATGCCTTGACTATTAAGGATGCATTCCCTCTCTGCCCAGTATTGAAGGAATCCTCTCGAGGATAGAACAGACACATTACATCTCCAGCGTAGACCTCAAATTTGCGTTTTGGCAGATTGAACTTGATGTCAGAAGCAAGGAGTACACTGCGTTCACGGTTCCAGGAAGGCCGTTGTACCAGTTTCGAATGATGCCATTCGGGCTGTGCAACGCGGCACAACGCTTTGTGCGGCTCATGGATCGGGTGATACCAGCGGAGTTCAGATCCAACGTCTTCGTCTACTTAGACGACCTGCTAATCCACACTTGAAATACTTGCGTCGAGTAGCCCACAGTCTGAAAGCAGCCGTATTGAGCATAGGGTTAAAGAATGGGATCCTGGACGGGTTTCGGCAATTCGGAAGATGCCTTACCCGAAGACAATGAAGGAGCCTTCCTCGGCACAGCGGGATGGTATCGACGGTTCGTCAAGAACTTCGCTACGCTAGCCGCACCACTCTCCAAGTCCTTGAAAAAGGCTGGAAACACCAAGTTTTCCTTAAGCCCCAGCACTACACAGGCAGTGGATGACCTGAAGCTGGCCTTGACGAGCGCGCCGGACCTGGCTCATGCGGATTTCAAGAAACATTTCTACATTCAGTGCGACGCATTCCACGTTGGCGTTGGCGCGGTATTGCTTCAGCGGAACCAGGACGGAGACGAGCAGCCTATCACGGCTAAGATGAACAAACACCAGGTGAATTACTCGGTCACGGAAAAGGAGTGCTTGGCGGCCATCCTAGCCAATCGGAAGTTCAGACCGTATGTGCAGTACTGATCACGTCAGCCTTAAGTGGTTGATGACAATGAAGGATCTGTCCGGACGACTCGCAAGGTGGTCTCTCCAGCTGCAGGGCTACGATTTCAACTTTGAACATCGCAAAGGCAGCGAGAACGTAGTCGCCAACACTCTACCCCGCATCATCGAAGAGGTCCGGATAGATCCAACAGAGTTGCTGGGATTCGAGGCGACCGAATTTGCTGCGGAGGATTATACGGAGTTAGTGCAAGACGTGGAGTCTAACAGGGAGCACTTACCGGACCTCAAGGTGGACGGCGGACTAATCTTCAAGCGCATGAGTAATCCGAAAATAGAGGAACTGGAAGGATCCGAATGGAAGCTGTGGATCCCGCAAAGCCTGACGCACAGCTTGAAAGAACGTGCTCATTCGGACCCCAAGGCTGCCCATGGTATGATGACAAAGACCTTGGAGATCCTGCGACGCTACTTCTATTGGCCAGGGATAACTATCCAGGTGCGTGAATACGTCCGGGGTTGCGAGGTGTGCAAGGAGTCCAAAGCGCCAAACTTCAGGATGCAGGTCGGAATCGGAAGAAGGGTAGAGACGGAAAGACCATTCCCGAAACTCTACATCGATTTTCTGGGCAAATATCCGAGGTCCAAGAGTGGACACGCCTAGATATTTATCGTGGTGGACCACTTCTCCAAGTACATCTTCTTAAGGACGACGAAGGAGGCGACGGCGTCGAACGTAGTAAATTTCCTGGTAAACGAGGTATTTTACAAGTTAGGGGTGCCTGAGACGATACATTTCGGCAACGGCAAACAGTTCGTGTACAAGGCGTTTGAGGAGATGATCGATGGCTTCGGTATACAGCACATGAAGACTCCAGTATACTCACCACAGAGCAATGCCTCGGAGAGGGTAAACAGGAATGCCTTGGCCGGAATTCGCAGCTTCTTGGACGAAGATCACCGGGAATGGGATGCACATCTGCAGGAGCTTGAGGTGGCCATCCGAAACACTGTCCACTCAGCCACAGGAGAAGCGCCGTTCTTCACCATATTTGGTCATCACATGTTCCACAACGGTTCCACTTACAAGCTAGACAGACGACTTAGGTCCCTGGTCGACCATGAAATGGCCGGAATGCAGATCAAGGACAAGCTTCGGATAATCCACGCCAAGGTGCAGAAGCAACTGGAGGAAGCATACGAGATAAGCCGGCAACGCTATGATAAGAGAAACCGTATGTTGCTCGTCAAGCCAGGCCAAGAAGTCTTCCGCCGCAACTTCGTGCTGAGTGATTTCAGCAAATCTTTTAACGCCAAGTTTAGTCGCAAATTCTTTAAAGCCAGGGTGGTCGAATCCGTCGGCAGCAATGCATTCTTGCGCCAAAGACATCCGGTTGTGATCTGAAAGAAGGAGAAACAAAGTATACGAGCATCGCCATCACATCTGCTATACTTCCCGTCATGCGTGGGCCCGTGTTAGGCGCCGATCGAACTGCAGAATGGTATCAGTGCCTTGTTGAGTCCCATCGTATCTCCAAAGCTACCAATTATTTCGTCATTCTGGTGAAACTCTGGGTAGCACCTCTCAAAATCTTTGGTTGATGTTGCAATTGGAGTCGATAAAAGGAGGGACTCTATCCAAAGGTTAGGTCGATAGGGCGATAGTTGCAGCAGCGGGATGAATCTGGCCATTTGAGGATTAATCCCGATCCGCTCTGAGATAACCTTAAATGGCACTCATGTATCCAGTGACCCAATTTTGGGGGAGACCTGTAGCCTTTTTCAAGCAAAACAAATCCTCTGCTTTGACCGCGTAAATATTTAAGACGGCGGCCAAGTATTCGGTCTTAAAGGCTGAGGAAGGATAGATCGGTAAGGAGGAGCATGAGTATAAATGATTGTACTTACCATATTCATTAAACATTTGTAAAACCCACAATGTGTGGGTAAGCTTTCCCAGTGGGGGAGATAGAACCGTTGTAGTCGCGAGGAGGGGGCTCCATCCGACCGAGAATGGGTGGTGCACACAGCATCCTAAGAGCATCTATGGTTGGGTGGGAGCGCTTGGCTAGGTCATCGATAGCCACCATTCTTAACCTAGATTTCCTTTGATTACGTTTTTTTGTTCTCTTGTAACCGATAATTTGGTGATCTGAGAATGCGGAGCTGTCGACATTTATGTTGCGAGCTGTTGCATTAGGGGTACTCTGCCTTGAGAAAACACTGAGCTAGCGGCACTGCCACTGCCACAAACAAACTATTTAAAACTAGTCCATTTATTCCGAAACAGTTTTCTTATGCCGAACAGCTGTTTGCTTCAGCGATTCTCTATCTGAACAGGAATGCGCTTAAAGTTGCATTAGCGATTTTTAGCGGATGTGTGAAGAATGTGTTAGAGTCATGGGAAGTAAGGCTGGCCGGTGTGACCGCGCAAGATAACGACATTTTTAGAAAAACGTTATTTTCTCGAAATCTGTAGGTTTAATTTTCCCGTAACTAATACACACATTAGGTTAGGTTAGGTTAGGTAGGAGTGGTTGGAGATTAGATACTAACCCCCACACATAGGCCACACTGAGCCCCTTGCGATACCACGTGATCTCTGTGCAGATCCTTTTCCCTATCTCATGGGTTATTTGCTTTCGCGAAGTATTTTGTTCTTCTTAGGAAACATAAAAGATTTTGAATGCTTACGCCCTGTATGGCCGCAAGGTTCAGAAGTGTGTAGCTACCTAGGATTTGAAAGCGCTTTAGGTTATGCGCTGGGCAGAAGCAAAGGAGGGGTTCGATGCTCTCGTCTTCGTTTATCTGTTTGCCGCTGCGGCAGAAGTCGTGGTTACTGAGTCCCAGCCTGTGCGCATGAGTCCCTATAAGACAGTGAGCCGTGAGGGCATTTAGGAGAGTGCAGATGTCTACATTTTAGGAGAGTTTTTGTTCTTTTCGAGTTGCCATATGAGTGTAGAATTGTGGCAAGTTGAGATTGAGTTCCAACGGTTGTTGGAAAGTGTGTACAGTCTCTGCCTGAGATGGAGATTGCAGTTAGCCATGGGCATACCCACCGTGGTCTGGTAGGCGAAATGAGACTTTTATGTCTAGTTCCGGAGAGAAGACACCCCCACCTGTTTGGGAGTGAAGCTTGGAGCCGTCTGTGTATATGTTGACGGCGTTTTCGAATTGGTGTGGGAGGTTGTTCCAGTCTGTACGGGTGGGTATGAATTTCTTTTATTTTCTTTCGAAGTTGACTATGCGTGGAACGTAGTCTGTACTACGTGGTAAGGACGTATGTTTCGATAGGATATTGGAGTGCTGCCTGTTGTTCATGCCGCTGCTTCGCGGAGCCTCAGCGCTGTTGCAGATGCCCAGCTTTTGGCAAGTAGGTCCAGGGGTTGGAAGTCGAGAATTGTGTTTAGTAGCGGTGGTGCGAAGCCTCTTTTTCTGGGCTAACTCCCAGTCCACAGACAGCCGTCAACCTGGAGAG